GTTAGGAGTTATCTCTATTCTCTACACAAACCTAGAGTTTCTACTATCTAGTCTAAAATGCACAATATTCGATTAAATGCAATAAATACAATAGTAGAAACAAATCAGAATAAATAACTGAACATTGAAGAGCAAATATCAAAATTAATTAAAAGTTAGGTTAAATTAATACCATAAATTCCAACACAATAAATTACCCCATATTGTATAAATGGTAAAAAGGAAAATATTTTATAAAATACATTGCAAACATGAAAAAATATAATTAAGAAAATACAAGGTTATAGATACAACCCCTTTTGAAGCTTGATTTTGATTTTTCCAAATATTTCTCCACCTCCTTAAATGATTGTCCTTTATGCTCTATGATCTGCTCCCAAAAATACCAAGGAAAAGAAAAGGAAAATAAAAAAGGAAGAAGAAAAGAAAAAGAAAGAAAAGGAAAAAAAATTGAAATAGAAGCTGCCCAGCAGAACAGCTTCAAAAACAGGGGCTGCATGCCTTTTAATTCTCAAAACCTATTTAGAAAATGCAAACGAGTCCCTGGGTTTTTGTAGGGAACACAAAACGATCCTAAATTTTTTTTTTTTTTAATATTAAAGCCGGTGCCTATGGCCAAGAACAGTGGCCTAGGCGCCCAATTTCTGTTTTTGTCCAAAAAAATACGGTTTTTGTGTCATTTGCAGCTTAATCCCTAAGATAATTGCATGCTAAGTTCCTCAACTTTGATCTTGTACAATTTAGTCACCATATTTTGACTTTATATCAATTTTCCCTTCATAAATTGCACCCCAAGGTCCTCAACTTTCAACACTTGTGCATTTTGATCCCCAACTTGACAAATTTGTACAATTTTATTACTTTTCCCTCCTTTTGCCTTGTTTTCATTTCATGGATAATTATTGGCCTACAAAGTAAATGTTACCTAATTGTGAGTAGAATTTCATTAATTTAATCAATTATAAACATATTAGGTATTAAATAAGTGTGCAAAAATATACTTATCAAATACTTCCAAACTTAAGTTCTTGCTCGTTCCGAGCAAGATTATCTACCACACAATCAAGCCATTGTGATATGATCAACACATTAGATAGCCTGCCAAAAATATCAATGAGTGTAAAATTGTATAATCAATTCACAATTATGCTGCAAATAATGCTAAAAAAATAATTAAAGCTTATCCAATATTCGATCGATATGTGTGTGTGTATGCACGGTCACTTTCAATCATCATCCAAGTTAGAAAAAAGTTGTCAAGACAGAAATTTTTTCAAATTGACTCAAACCCGACCCTTTGTCATTAAATATTTCATTTCCCAGTCGTGAGATTCACATTTCTCAAATAAATATCATTCTTATTTTTTCCAAAGGTGTAAATCTAAAGATTGCTCTCCAATCACTCATTTCTTTTTCCACTCTAGTTTGGTTGGGTCTAATTGGCAACCTCAATATCTAGTCATACGATGATTCTCCACTAATGAGTACTTCCACATTCAAGCTTATACCAAGTAATTCAAACTCACTAGTTATCTAAGCCTACATATTAACTACAATTGCACAATAGCAAATTTTTTTCTTCTCTTTCTCTCTCTAGTCAAATATCATGTTTTACCTTACTCCCTTAAACTTTCTTCTTAACCCTTGAAGTGACTTTTAAGTCGATAACTCCCCGGTTGTTTAGGCCAAAGGGTACCGGGTCTTAAGATACCCTTACAGACTTAATAACCCAAGTAAAAAAGACCACGAAGTTAGGCCTAAGATTCAACAAGTGCAATATCATTCTTTTAAGTATAACAAAATTAATGGGGCTTAGATTCCTAGCATATGGTCATTACCTAACTCATACTTGGCAAAAAACATTCCACACAAATATTCTCAACATGCATGGAAATCAACATACTTCTAGATAATATTCTTCACCGGCTCCACCACCCTTAAACTTATCTCACAAGATGGCAAAATGAAAGAGAAGAGAGTATATGTTGATATAAATTTTCAAACAACTCACAACTTGGTTCAACTAATTCAAAAATCCCTCAATCAATCAAACATTTTTCATATCTAGATAACAATTAATCATAACTATTGTGTTCAAAGTAATTTAAGATCTTAAAATGGATAAGCAATTATTATTATTATTATTATTATTATTATTATTATTATTATTATTATTATTATTATTATTATTATTTTGTAACAGCCCAAGACATGTATTGATCATCGAAACTTATCTGAAATACCTCCCTTTTAAATCGTGGCATGGTTAAGGCATGTTTCAAAAGTATATTGTTGTCATCATTTTCTTCATATAAATCATATTGGAAAGATTTTTCTTATTCAACTGGAATAGCCAATTACAAGCAATTCTCAGTATAATGCAAAGCCCCATAATTTTCACAAAGTCGGACTTATATGGATTGTGTCTTGTACTTGTAAGTTTGGTAGTTGTGATTTCCATATTAATCCGAAGGGCAAGTCATCATAAAAAAAAATTGGTAAGTGTATTATATGAACCCCATTTTTTGTAAGTAAATGTATTTTGAAAAGGTTTTGGAGAATGTGTGGTTAAAAAATAAGAAGTTTTTTTGAATTACGTGTAAAAGTATTTTATGAGAAAATGTATGGTTGAAAATAAGTTAAAAAAATGAGTTTTTTAAAAAATAAGGACCAAATGTAGGCTATATCCCATCAATTTGGCTATGCGTACAGAAGCTGTTTCACGGAAAGTCTCTAGATGAGGTGTCGACTCCATTTTCAATTCAAACAAATGAAATAAGAACAAACAAATATGAACAAATAAATAATGGAATAATGGAGACATTCTGAAACAACCCACATGAGTTTGATTGAAAACAATACAAACCCGTAAAGGCTCTACTTTCTCATACTTGTTGGTTCCTCCCATCTCTCCCGCTGATTTGAAATACTAGATTTACTGTTGTTCTTGCAGGCGCTGTTGTCCCAAAATTCGGCTACCGTCAATCCGTCATACAACATCTTTACATTTGTCATATTATCGGGTGTAACAAAGCTGCTGATTTTGCCCTCCCTTGTCGTCATCTTCTCCGATTGTCGTCAATGGCTTTAGACCAAAAATACTAGCAACTGTGTAGCGTTTTGAGAAGGTTAGATTTTTGGGATTTTGAACAAAATATTTATGGTTTTTTTTTGTACCTATTATAGATGGTTTGAAACTACAAGACTTTCGACTTTTTCAATAAACAATTCTGCTATGTTTCTTGCGTTAGGCAGTTATGAAATTGGATAATTTATGAGATTGTTGAGAAGCTGTGAAAAGGATGTGATGTTTATGTATTTGTATATGTAGTTGTGAATGGGACAATTCTACTATTTTTGCACATAGAACAATCTGAACAAATGTGATGTATATGTATTTGTTGTTCCACATAAAGGGATTCAAATATAAAGCTTTGAATTGTCACAAATATGAATTGACACAAATTGGAGTAGGTTGGGTTAGTAGAATAGGTTGCTTGGTTTGGAGTGACAATATGAACAAATGTGATGTATATGTATTTGTCCTTGCTTGGTTTGGAGTGACAATGAAATACTAGTTTGTAGTTTTCTAGATAATGGAATACAAGTTTTATGCTTGAGAATTCTTGTAATTAAAGTTTGGAAGGTAAAGGCTTTTGTTTCTTTAAAAATGATTTGGATTCCACATTTGAAGCCGTGATTAACATCTAAACAAATGTAATGTGGTGATCAACTTGCTTTTTTGGAATTTTTTTGTTGTAATGTATAGAAATTGCTTTATGTTATTATGTGAAATTTGTAAATGTACCACATTCGTTCCTTGCTGGTATAGAATTCAGAGCATCAAAACCATTGATAATTTGAAGAACATGGTAGCTATATGTACGCTGACTACAATGCATGTGGTGGTTTTTCTTGTAGGGATGAGAGGCAAGAATTATGGTGTTTGTCACAGCTGTAAAAGTACAGATTACTTTTCGAAGGATGCCAAAAAAAACTACGTTGTCCATGGTGTGTAGATAGAATCCAAAAATGTTTTGAGGTTGAAAATGAGGGCAATAACAAAGGTCGACTATTTAAAACGTGCAGTAATGACTGCGAATTTTTTAACTAGGTAAAAGAAGAAGCAAACGCGAGTCGAGTACCATTAATGACACAATAAATCCTACTGTGAACGAGGAAGTCAACAAGTTGCAAAATATGTTTGAAAGTTTAGCTCGAATAGTCGAGAAACGAAACCTCGATGTTTTGTTGAATGTCACATTCCGCAAGGGAAAAGAGCCCTCAAAAGATAATGGAAAATGAAAGGGGTTGGCATAATGTGGTGTTATACTCGATGTTGCATTCTTTTCTTTAGTTTGTTTAGCTAATTGCTAGCTTTTGAATAGATGGACAATAGTGCAATTTGCTTTAGTTTTGTAATGATTAGATGTGCAACTGTTTTAGTTTTGAACGAGGAATAGCTTATGGTTCATGAATTTGCCTTCTTTGCAATAGGCGTATCAGTCTTAATCTTCATTCCTAAAGATAGATTGAGGAGAAAATATAGAAACTGTTAAGAAAGATTAATTTTAAAATCACAACCAACAAAGCGGGTAACACGCTGATAAAGGTTAAACCCATATTAAGGTGAGAATGAAAAAAAAAAAATACTAATATCAAACAAAAAACTGTTTTTAGATCACTACACCCAAGGGGGGAAGGTGAATAATGAATGAATCAGACTTTAGATCGAATGTGCAGAATAGATCTATGAAATTAAATCTCAAGAAACCAAATTCCTCAAATCAAATAGTAACATAAAAGCCAATCAGAGATGAATTTACATCATAAAGTGTAAAACCAAACTTAGAGATGCATTGAAATGATCTGCAAGAGTAGCCCACATGTCCAAGCAAAAAGAGAGCAAAGAAAACAATACAACAATCCGTAGACTATCAATCAAAATCATGTATAGTGGCAGTCCAGATATTTCAACATAACAAAAGATTCAGCCTTGAGATATTTCATAGGCACGGTCTAAAATTGTTATTTACAAATGCTTGAGTATCAATCATAGTACAGTCGTAGTCGAGAAATGAATAACTAATGAGGTCAAGAATGCACCCTTCCTTCCTAGTGGAAATGGACTAAGACAATTTACAGAATTATCCCTACAAACTAAATAGAAACATTTCACTTTTAGGCAATTTTTTTTACTTCGTGAAGTAAAAAACATGTCCCAAAAATCCTAAAATGATAGACAACAAAGGACAAATAACAAAAGTCCAAAAATTCTTCATCCGTAGTTCATATGCCTGGACCACCTTCTTGTGGGAAATGTGGATAGTTGTATGGAACCGAACGACCTGTCGTAAGTACATGCATAAAATGTGCACTAATGCAAATGTAGAGATTTAAACGTGTGCAAACCTAGATCATTGAATATGACATTTGTTGATGTTGAGGGGAACGAAACTTGAGGCTAGCCAGTGTTGTGGGAAGGTAGGACTTTTTGCATCACCTACATCGTATAAAAATGCAATTAAAGTTTCGAACAAATCATTATAATAAACTAAGTATACTAACCAACAATAGTTGTAAATACGAAAACGGTGTTTGCATAGAATACTGTTGAGATGCTTGGATGACGGGTGTAGATGGCGTATCATTGTGCTTGGACGTTGGTCTCTTTCCTCTGGCCGAAGTTGACGTAGCCTGCAGATATGGTTCATGTTATAAACTAATTATAATGAAATACTATTTAAGTCGACAAAAATCGTGATAATGATACCTTTGCCTTCTTTGAAGATGTCTCCAAGGGGCCTTTTCTCCGAAGTTTCTTAGGCGTGCCCTTTCTTCTCGCTAATATAGGATCTTGTATGGCATTGTTTTTAAATTCATTACACCGTGAGGATAACTGAATAGCTTAATGTGAAGCCCAATTACTTCCGGAGCCTAACTTTATTGTTATCAACTCTTGCTTTTGATAAGTTATCCACTCCTTGATCGCATAGCAGCGCCCCTTATCATCAGTTGCAAGGTTTGTAACCTCGGTAAAAGCCTGACACATATTGTCGTATCTCAACTGTTCAGGCATACGTACCAACTTGGCATAGTTCACTGCAACCTTGGTGTGTGCTCTACAAACGTCTCTCCTCCATCTTCGTAGTATAAACCTATCCGGCAGAGACATGATGTCATTACGGATCAGGACTACGATAACATGACAGCACAGAATTTCTCGAAACTTAAACAAATGACAACTACAAATAATTTTGCAATTATCTTGTTGAAATGAGACAAAAAAAATCTCATCTTCCGTCTATCATTAACCATTATAACCTCCCGTATTTTATAGATCATGCATGAACTGCCCTCCGTAGTGGAAATGAGGTCACAATAAGCCTTCTCTGTAAGCTCAACTTGAGCTTTCTTGAACTTCGAAATGGTGTAATAGTTTTGATATTGATTCTCCATTTCAAACATTGTCGTGCATGGTACCATTTGGGAGTATGACTTGAAGTCGGCCTGAAACTCCTTCTCTACCTTATTCTTCAGTGCCCATTCATACTGTTCGACAAATTACTTCAACGAGGTCTTCGAATGAATATACCCATCGAAGAATGCATTCACACTCTCACTTCACTGAGTTGTCGACATCTCTGTCCAAAATGTAGTTTTCAGGTAGCAAGGAGCCCAACGACCTCTATTATCAAATAGTCCCGACAACCACTCATTATTGTGCAACCCGTATGTGTCAATCATCGCCCCACAACCTTTTTCAAATTCTTCCATGAACTGCGAATCATACACCAATGCATGTACGGTAAAAAAAATGGAAGCTTTATCGATGTGGTATCCAAACTTTTCGAGCAACTTCTTCAGAATAAGCCATAAACACCATCTATACTTCGTATTAGAAAAACAATTTGAACTGTATTTTGCATAGCCCTATCTCGATCAGTAATGATTTCATGGGGAGCTTTTCCGTGTATACACTGAAGCTATGTCCTAAATAGCCACACAAAAGTATTTGTTTCCTCAGTGGGCAACAAACCACAACCGATCAATGTTGACTGTCCATGATGATTAACGCCAACAAAAGGGGCGAAATGCATGTCATACTTGTTGATTAGATAAGTGGTATCAAATGTTACAACATCGTCGAATTCCTTGTAAGTTTGCCTAGACCTATTATCTGTCAAAAATACATTTTTCAGTCTGGAATCATCGTTTAAGTCCATACTAAAGTAGAATTCGGAGCACTAAGCTTGCATCCTAGAAAAGTAAGACTGTATTGCTACGACATCTCCTTCACCAAGTCTTAGTTGTCGCATTTGTTCAATATAATTTTGACAATCCTTTTCCACATAAGTCAGATACTCATATTCACCTGCTTCAACCATTGTAGAATTAAAACTCTTGTGCAAAGGAATTCCAGTCATATCATTCACTTCAAGCTTCCGTTTCACATGCGAACTTAATTCTCGATTGCAATCATACAACCTCGACTTCGAAGGACTTGTTTATGGTTGTGGCGAGGTAGACTATTTTTATTCTCCAGATTCCATAAATATCTGCAGAGGCAGTGGCTAGCTTTACAATCTGTCTGAGTAGTTGGTTGGGGCTTTGAAGAACCACTGGTGCTGGTAGACCTTCGACCTTCACGGCCACATGTTAAAGTTACATATTTCATTTTTCCGTCATCTCCCTTTTTCGAGTTCCTTCTTCTAACTGAAAAATCGATATGATATGCATACCTTTTGTAGAAATTTCACAATTCTTTTTCATCGTTGAACATCATACCCACCTCTGACATCTTAGGCACCATCGGATCATCTTCTTCTAGCGTTTCCTTTTCTGCTGATATCATATTACTCGCAAATTTCTCATCGACATCTCTATCCACAAAAATTCATCGCGTGTCTTCCACAAAACCTTCTGCTGCAACACAATCGAATGCCATGTCCAGCAAACAAATTAAAATGTAATAAGTTCGTCAAAATATAATGTGAGTTTGAACAAATTACAGAATAACAAATAAGCCAAAGAAAACATGTCATCCATCTGTAGCTCTAACTGGTCTCTAGTTAGCCTTGACTAGATCAAACTAATATGGATGTTGAAAACCTTACATAAATTCAGTGTTAACATAAAATTTCTGAAACCTTACCAATTAATCTTGGACATTTATATTAAAAGCTTGAACTATAAAGAGCACTTTGGTAAAATGTCGCATTGATTCTGCATATAAATCGGTGAGTTCCGCATATAATGGCCTAAGAAAAATTGTTTCAACTGTAAGGTGGAATCCTTTCTTTTTTTAAGTACACCCAAGCATCTAAGCCATTTAGTAGTCTTGATATTTCACGTTAGATGTAGAATTAGACTTGAAAACATCTAAACATAAAAGTATTTATCCTAAATCTGTGGCTTGAAATAAAGAATAACATACCAATCTCTTTATTTTTTATTCTTTCATACCATATATTACTTTTCAACATCTCATGCCCAACTTTGGAAGCAAATGAGAAGCTTTGCTCAATAATACAGAAGGGAAATAAGGAAATTCTAAATGATAAGAAAGGGGAGAAAAACAAGAGAAATTATTACCATCTTCGTCGGAGTTGAGCATCATCATCTTCGTTTGGGGGAAACGTACAAGACTTTCAGATTTTCCGGTGGTGAAGCCTCTACTTTTGGCGGGAGCAGTGAACTAAATAAATTGGGAGGAAATGAGTGGGACACTATGGAAATTGGAAAGTGGGCTCTCTTTTTCTTTTTTAGGTTTTATGTTGACTAGTCAAAAAAAAAAAAGTTATTGTAGCTCCAAAAATTTTAAATTTCTATTTGGGTCCTGTGAAGCTTCTATGTACGAGAGGCGTAAGTGATATCCCATCATTTTAAATCATTGAATGTCGAATACATCCCCACTAGCATGTGGTTGTCATAAATGTTGGGATCAATAATTGTAATTTGTTGCTGGTCTTTTGCTTCATTTAAGTCTCTGTCATTGACCAACAAAAATTAGTAGATTATTTTAAAAAGAAAAAAAGAATTCAATCTAAAGTTAGAATCAATGTAAATAACTTAATTACCGATAATGGCGCCAAAAACTTACTCCTTTTTAGTCATTTTTGTCCAATTTACGCTCCGATTCTCTATGCCCATGTTTGAGCTCTATTCTTTTGAAAAAATATATATTTTGAACAGTGTTTTGATATCATTTTAATCACACATTCTTTAATAAGATAATATTAAACGCAAATTTAAAATTTTTTCTTATTTTTTAATCACACACTTTCTATCAATATACTATTCAAAAATACATTCTTATAAAAGGAATGAGGCTCAAACAAGGGCTATAAGCGATCAACATCGAGCTTCTCATTTGTAGATTTGGATCATGATCTGGCCCATTCTCAAGATTACGAGGAAAATAAGTCCGTACTATTTGGTCTTGAAATTCTTACTACTTCAAGTGATAATGTCGGCCCAAGCCCATTCCAGCCCATTCATCATAGCGAAGCACCGACCCTAGTATCTTCTTCTTCACACCACCATTTCTAAATTGCAACCTTTCAGTTTCAGATACCCAGAAAATTAAGAGAAATTAGTGAGGTTGTATTATTGTACTAATGGGAGACCTGAAGCGGAAAAGAGGACGAAAGCCTAAAAATGTGGTGGCGGAAGCTAACGCTGCCGCATCAGCATCCACTTCCACTGCCGTGGATGACGGCGCAGTAGTCGCGGTACCTACTGAAGCTACCAAGCAGGACTCTCAGACCCATCGCCGTGGCCGCGGACGTCCTAAGAAGGGTGGTAATCACTCTGAAGATGACAGAAGTGACATGGCCGCATCGCCGGAAAGGCGAGCTCCTAGGTTATATGACCACAATGGCGCTGGAGACTCGATTGCACATAACGGGCACGTAATAGTTGAGGCTGTGGCGGCCCCTCCGCAGGTCAGGTGGGAGAGCGTGGCTGCAGCAGCGAAAGCAGCTTCGTCGATGGATGCGGTAGTGAAGGTTTTCTGTGTACATACGGAGCCAAATTTCTCGCTTCCATGGCAGCGGAAGCGGCAGTACAGCACCAGCAGCAGCGGGTTCATCATAGGTGGGAGGAGAATTCTAACCAATGCGCACTCAGTAGAGCATCATACACAAGTCAAGCTCAAAAAACGCGGTTCTGATACCAAATACCTGGCCACTGTCCTTGCCATCGGTACAGAATGTGACATCGGTATGAATTTTTAATAATCGAGATAGAAACACTAGCAGTTTTGTTTCGCTCAAGCCCTTGAACTTATTTTCGAATAAAATGCCGACCTTCGTTTCTCTCTCTGTCTCTCCCTCTCCTGTTTACGCACATGGTCTAAATTAAATTAATAGCTTACCAAAAATATGAAGAATGCAGTTGAACTACTATTACTTCTGAAATGAAACTTTGCAAATTACCATAAAAAAGAACTAATAAATGAAACAAGAAAAAAATAATTTTATTCCCCAAACCCGTGCAGACCCCTCTCCCTCTAAAACGCGGAAATGAATTTGGGAAATAAAAAATTCGTTCATCAAAATTATAAAGCTCTGTAAGTTGAATACTAAGTGTTTTTAACTCATTTTCCACCTCGAGTGATAGTTTATTTACCTCTGTTGTTGCATATGGATTTTTGGCAATGAAACAGCTATGTTGGCTGTCAGTGATGACGAATTTTGGGAAGGAGTATCACCAGTAGAGTTTGGAGATTTGCCTCCACTACAGGATGCCGTAACTGTTGTGGGCTATCCCATTGGCGGTGACACAATTTCTGTGACGAGTGGTGTGGTTTCACGCATGGAGATTCTGTCTTATGTTCATGGCTCGACAGAGCTACTTGGTTTGCAGGTTGGAATTCATTGATCTACTCACGTTGACTCTCTGGAGGATAATCTTATCGAGATATTGTATTAATTAATTAGTATTTTTTTTCATTTGTCTATTCAGATAGACGCTGCAATCAATTCAGGAAATTCTGGTGGCCCTGCCTTAAATGATAAAGGCAAATGCGTGGGTATTGCGTTTCAATCACTCAAACATGAGGATGTGGAAAATATTGGTTATGTCATTCCGACTCCAGTGATTATGCATTTCATTCAGGACTATGAGAAAAATGGGGCATATACAGGTTGGATACCTTGAATGGGCTGTGCTGAATTTCATAAATCCAATGATATTGATTTTATGTCTCTGAAATTCCAGGGTTTCCAATCCTTGGGGTTGAGTGGCAAAAGATGGAGAATCCTGATCTGCGTTCGTCCACAGGAATGTCCCCCGAACAAAAGGGTGTCCGCATTCGAAGAATTGAGCCTACAGCTCCAGAGTCTCATCTTCTAAAGCCATCTGATGTTATCCTCAGCTTCGACGGGATTGATATTGCTAATGATGGGACAGGTACCATCGATTTAATTAATTGATGTCTTTTTTCATTACCATTCAGCGCTATGCCACCTGACCAAACTATTGACCTTGCTTCGGTTTTGCTATTTGACCGTGTTTTCTAGTTGTGATCCATAATCATGAAATCTCATCTTACGTAAAACTACTGATATGACTGTGGAATCATTTCTTTGTTTTGCATTTGTAGAACACAGTAACATTTGTTCTTATGTTATTGTATTGTCATTCTTCAGCCTAAGATTTCACTCTAAATTGCTCGTGACATAAATCTTTATAATTCATGTAAGTTGATAAATCATAAAAGTTGGGGGTTGCAAAGTTTTTTTTATATCGACTCTATTCGAAAATCGCGAGTAGATTTTGTAACAAACTGATTTCAGGTGTTTCGTTTTAACGTCGCGTAATGGAGGATGTTCCTAAATTTGAAGAAAGTTAAAGATATTGTTGTGCATAAGCGAGTATAATTGGATTTTTTGTGTTTGTATATTAGGTTTTAACAACATTTGCAATCAATTTCAGCATCTACACTTTTTCATCCATTTTGTGCATGCTTCATTGTTGGTGAGTCATCTTTTAGCTTTTTACTGTAGTTTCTTTCAGTTTGTCTGGACTTTGGTCTAATTAGCCTGCATTTGAGCCCCATTTTTTGAGAATAGGTTTTGTTAAATGTGAATTTTTTTTTTTTTTTTTGAAGAATATGTGGTTAAAAGGTATGAAAAAGTTTTGTGTTTACATATGATGCTCGGACTCGGTTACGGGAATCGGGTATGAGTTTGTATTTAGATGTCGGATCCTTTATTTTCTAAAATGTAGGATGCGGGAACATGATTAAAAAAAAGTTCAATTTTTGAATACGGGTACGTGGATACGTTTTTCAAACTTCAATTTGTTTACTAATTCAAGACGTCATTTTGAATAAACCAAAATTAATTATTCACAAAGAAGGAAATAGGTATTGAATAAGGAGTTGAGACGAATAAAATAGAATTTTGGGGTTTAGTTTTCAATTATGAACATTATTAAATGTTATATACAATAGCAAATAATGGACTTGATTGCAATTTTGGACTTAGTGGAGAACTAAGTAAAAGTGGAAAATGAAAAAAGAAAGAAGAAGCAAAAATAATGAAGTGTCCGATTTAAACTTGGAGGATCCGATACATATTCCATATCAATATTCATATCCATGTCGTGTCGTGTCCGATGCGGGTACTCCAACTATTTCGAAAAGTCCGAACATCTTAAAATTTATTTTATTGAAAGAATGTGCGGTTGAAAATGAGTTTGAGAAAAACGAGTTTTAAAAAAATGGAGGTCAAACAGGGGCTTAATTCCATCTCATATGATTATATTAACTTGGCGTCTAGTACAAAGGGAGACCTATTTATTGTTTGCTACCTGTACATTAGGCATGTTCTGAGAAGCTTCCACTAGTTGAAGCAATCTAATTTTGTTTAACTGATTCTGTTTTCAGTTCCATTTAGACACGGAGAGCGTATTGGTTTCAGTTATCTCATCTCTCAAAAGTACACTGGAGATTATGCTCTGGTCAGAGTTCTCCGTAATTCCAAAATACTCGAGTTCAACATAAAACTAGACACACACAAACGCCTTATCCCAGCACATATTAATGGCAGGCCACCTTCTTATTACATTATTGGTGGATTTGTGTTCTCTGCTGTTTCTGTTCCATATTTACGTTCAGAGGTGCGTATTGAGATCGACACCGCTTGTTATTCTATCCTTGGTTTCTCCTGCTTAGGTTGCATCTTTTACTTGTAAATAAGTAAGCCGAGAAATAAATCATATTTTTGTTGGTCAAAGTTGGATTGAGTTATTTATTACTACGTTAGTAAATAAACCATTTTTGTTACTTTCTCAAAAGAAGTAACATGTCCAACCATATTTTGGGGGAAAAAAAAAATATATATATTAAAAAGTAAAGTAACTTTTAAGCTTCGAGAAACATGCAATTAAATTTCACGCTTTCTAGATTCAAATATTTTTCTACTAGTTGTATTGCCATGTTGGTGTTCTCACTTTCTAGTGCCTGTATTGCCATGTTGGTGTTCTCACTTTCTAGTGCCTGTCTTACCAGTATGCAAAAGATTATGAATTCGACGCCCCAGTCAAATTGTTGGACAAACTTTTGCATGCAATGGCACAATCAATAGACGAGCAGCTAGTTGTTGTTTCTCAGGTTTTTCCCTCTTTTTCAGTAACTACCTCCATTAAGTATTCTGAGGGAACTTCCAAATTTGAACTAATAATTACTCAACTGGTTGAGATTGTATTAGGTGCTTGTTGCTGACATCAATATTGGATATGAAGATATAGTCAACACTCAGGTGGAATAATTTTGACCTAACATAGCTGGTGATATCAGCATTTGATATCGGCAATTTTATTCGTATTGATAAATATTTTACCTGTTTATGTATATATAGGTTCATGCCTTCAATGGAAAGCATATCACGAATCTAAAGAGCTTGGCAAGCATGGTGGAAAGCTGTGAAGAAGAATTTTTGAAGTTTGATCTTGAATGTGAGCAGGTTCGTCTTCCTGCCCAAACCCTCTCCCCCAAGAGGAAAAAAATGCAAGAAAATGAAAGGCTCAGTTGACGACAGTGATCATGGTAACACTTTTGGTATGTTCTAACCGGATTCTTCTCTACTATGTGTAGATTGTGGTCTTACAGACTCAGAAGGCAAAGGCTGCAACTAAAGACATTCTTGCGATGCATTGTATCCCTTCAGCCATGTCCGATGATCTTAAGACATGAAAGCCAACTGTTAAGGTTTGGAAGTCCTTAGCCCACAATAGTTTCTTCTAGTTTTCCTATCCAATTTTGCTCTCTCATCTCTTCTATATATGCTTAGTTTACTTACAACTTACAAGTCAAGTGATGGGGTCTTTGAAAGTATGTACCTGTCTGAATCTTAAGATGGTAAAGAATCTCGATGCTAAAATAATGCCGATATTATTTTGTCAGTGGACTCGAGATTATTTCGTCAAAGTTCTTCCACAAGAACTACATTTTGTAGAATTTCATCTCGCTGTAGAAATTGGAAATTGCATTCTGAAATTCGTCAGCAGGAGGATTTTGAGGCTAAGAAAGAAGATTGTAGCTTATGTTTCTTTTTAGATTTTACCTTCTGATATTTGGATTTAACCATGCTCTACAAATATGTTACAGGAGAGAGAATTACTTTCTCCATACCGAATCATAACTGTATATTAGACTTCTGTTTACATAAGAGAGAATTACTCTGCATACTAGATCACATCTTCTGTCCCTTTGGTTTTGTAACTTTGCAATAAGGGACGTTTTAGGGTAGCCGATGATTCCAGATCCATCTCCTCTTTTGTTTTGCCTCACATTACAGTGTAGAATCCAATTGCTATTATTGTTGCACCGATGATGCTGCAAAATAGCACAAGGAGAACAAAAAAATGAATTCTTATTCTAGGTGGGTGGAAGAGTATTTCCGAGGATGACGACTCTCATGGCAGCTGCAATACCATGAACAATGGCTTGAACATGGCCATATTTATAGGTCCCCTTAAGTGCTATGAATAACATTGTTCAAGCCAGAGCCAAAAAACCCCTGCTGTAATTTCCAACCCAACTTCAGAATCCAGTTGGAATAGAGGAACAAGCAACTATTTTCATCTCTTACTGAGCATAAGATGGAGGCTAACGCCAGATTAGGTCTTAGTATCCATTTGCTAGAGTAGGTTTCTGCGATGAGACCTACGAATGCAGCTGGGATGCTCTCGAATAAGCTGTAGAAGAACATCAGTGTCAGTTCTGCTGGGTATTCTTTCATAATATGCGTATTCACGAAACTCAAGTCAGAAGTTTTATTTATTTTTAACCTTAATAATCCAATCTAGTGTAACAACAGTAGTATAAATCGGACTAGACTGACCGGTTCATTCACGTTCTGATTTGACTAAACATAAAGATAGAAACCATTCATTATTCATACAAGTAAAGAACTCGTCGGTTCACATAAATATTTTGGGGGAAAAAAAAAAAAGAAATATTAAAAAGTAAAGTAACTTTTAAGCTTCGAGAAACATGCAATTAAATTTCACGCTTTCTAGATTCAAATATTTTTCTACTAGTTGTATTGCCATGTTGGTGTTCTCACTTTCTAGTGCCTGTATTGCCATGTTGGTGTTCTCACTTTCTAGTGCCTGTCTTACCAGTATGCAAAAGATTATGAATTCGACGCCCCAGTCAAATTGTTGGACAAACTTTTGCATGCAATGGCACAATCAATAGACGAGCAGCTAGTTGTTGTTTCTCAGGTTTTTCCCTCTTTTTCAGTAACTACCTCCATTAAGTATTCTGAGGGAACTTCCAAATTTGAACTAATAATTACTCAACTGGTTGAGATTGTATTAGGTGCTTGTTGCTGACATCAATATTGGATATGAAGATATAGTCAACACTCAGGTGGAATAATTTTGACCTAACATAGCTGGTGATATCAGCATTTGATATTGGCAATTTTATTGGTATTGATAAATATTTTACCTGTTAATGTATATATAGGTTCATGCCTTCAATGGAAAGCATATCACGAATCTAAAGAGCTTGGCAAGCATGGTGGAAAGCTGTGAAGAAGAATTTTTGAAGTTTGATCTTGAATGTGAGCAGGTTCGTCTTCCTGCCCAAACCCTCTCCCCCAAGAGGAAAAAAATGCAAGAAAATGAAAGGCTCAGTTGACGACAGTGATCATGGTAACACTTTTGGTATGTTCTAACCGGATTCTTCTCTACTATGTGTAGATTGTGGTCTTACAGACTCAGAAGGCAAAGGCTGCAACTAAAGACATTCTTGCGATGCATTGTATCCCTTCAGCCATGTCCGATGATCTTAAGACATGAAAGCCAACTGTTAAGGTTTGGAAGTCCTTAGCCCACAATAGTTTCTTCTAGTTTTCCTATCCAATTTTGCTCTCTCATCTCTTTTATATATGCTTAGTTTACTTACAACTTACAAGTCAAGTGATGGGGTCTTTGAAAGTATGTACCTGTCTGAATCTTAAGATGGTAAAGAATCTCGATGCTAAAATAATGCCGATATTATTTTGTCAGTGGACTCGAGATTATTTCGTCAAAGTTCTTCCACAAGAACTACATTTTGTAGAATTTCATCTCGCTGTAGAAATTGGAAATTGCATTCTGAAATTCGTCAGCAGGAGGATTTTGAGGCTAAGAAAGAAGATTGTAGCTTATGTTTCTTTTTAGATTTTACCTTCTGATATTTGGATTTAACCATGCTCTACAAATATGTTACAGGAGAGAGAATTACTTTCTCCATACCGAATCATAACTGTATATTAGACTTCTGTTTACATAAGAGAGAATTACTCTGCATACTAGATCACATCTTCTGTCCCTTTGGTTTTGTAACTTTGCAATAAGGGACGTTTTAGGGTAGCCAATGATTCCAGATCCATCTCCTCTTTTGTTTTGCCTCACATTACAGTGTAGAATCCAATTGCTATTATTGTTGCACCGATGATGCTGCAAAATAGCGCAAGGAAAACAAAAAAATGAATTCTTCCTTATTCTAGGTGGGTGGAAGAGTATTTCCGAGGATGACGACTCTCATGGCAGCTGCAATACCATGAACAATGGCTTGAACATGGCCATATTTATAGGTCCCCTTAAGTGCTATGAATAACATTGTTCAAGCCAGAGCCAAAAAACCCCTGCTGTAATTTCCAACCCAACTTCAGAATCCAGTTGGAATAGAGGAACAAGCAACTATTTTCATCTCTTACTGAGCATAAGATGGAGGCTAACGCCAGATTAGGTCTTAGTATCCATTTGCTAGAGTAGGTTTCTGCGATGAGACCTACGAATGCAGCTGGGATGCTCTCGAATAAGCTGTAGAAGAACATCAGTGTCAGTTCTGCTGGGTATTCTTTCATAATATGCGTATTCACGAAACTCAAGTCAGAAGTTTTATTTATTTTTAACCTTAATAATCCAATCTAGTGTAACAACAGTAGTATAAATCGGACTAGACTGACCGGTTCATTCACGTTCTGATTTGACTAAACATAAAGATAGAAACCATTCATTATTCATACAAGTAAAGAACTCGTCGGTTCACATAAATTAATTAATTTTCTGTATTTTTCTAACTCAAGGCTCAAAACGGAAGTGATGGTACTGTCTCGACGAACATGTGCTTCTTCTTGTGACCCTTTTTTTAAAAAAAATTAAAAAAAAAAATATAAGAGAATGTGTTTCGTAATAGTATTTTTTTGAGAGTATGCGGTTAAAAACAAAGAAAAAGAAAATATTTCATGTTTGCGTGAAAAATTATTAATGAGAGAACGTGTGATTAAAAATAAGATTTGGGAAAAATGGCAGTCAAAATTTATTTTCCAAGATTTGTTTAACTATTGATAATTTAATGTTTATTAAAAATTTTGTTTTGCTGATTTTTAATATATTTTGTTATTTCTATAATTTCAAATGGGTAATTAGCACACAACGTTTCTATTTTTCAATATTATTGTGTAAAATGTTCTTACCTTCCGTTTTAGCCATTTTTACCTTTAATTACGTATTTGATTGTTACAAAGGTCCCCCCGTTCATTTTCTGTCAATGTATCTATTAATTGAACACTTGTAATAGTTATACAAAATTTGCCCCCTTCTGTCTTGCACAGGTTCTTCCGTAACTAAAAGTAACGATAATGTGAAAGTAATTTATAAATAACCCCAAGAAGGACAATGGCTATTGTAATGGTGGATTTACCCATAAAATTTGAATGGTAGATGAAGAGTTTGAATCAGATTTTAATGGTGAAAATGATCCGGAGTTGTTTAGCCTTTTTTTTTTTGTTTAATACTAGTCTTTACTTGTGCAATGCATCAGCCACCACATTTTGAAGCTAATGTTAGTGTGGTCCATGTATAAGTATTGACGGGAGATGTGTGTTGATTGAACAAAGATTATTATTTTTGTAACAAGTTTAAAGTACCCGAAAGAAATAATATCATGAACTGTGGTTATATTCAATGATTCAAGAGCACAACTTGAAAGAAGCAAATTTAAAAACTATTGTTCAACAGACATTGAATCTTGAAAATGTCTCTGAAACAAAAAGTCACCAATACATTTAAACCGTCAGATTCAAGACTTAGATCTCGACACAAAAAAATAAAATAAAATCAAATTCAGCATGTTTAAGTCAATTTGCTACTATAATGGGCATCTCATAAGCTAACAAACATACCACAAGGATGAAGGGTAGATCATATATTTAACATGACCACCCACTTTTTGTTTGCCAGCAGCTAAGCCAATTAGCATGGGCTGGTTGAACAATACCTTCCAGTCATCTTAGCCATGGCTCGTAGTTGTTCACTTTATCACCAGATTTCACAAATTTATAGCCCTTTGTGTATTCAGATATCTTATCTGTATCATACAGTAATAAAAGGTAAAGATTTATCATTAGTTACCCATGTGACCTAAATCTGTTTATCCCTAACAAAGGAGATGTCAACTTAAAAATGGCCAATTGTACCAAAAAATTTAGAAAAATCAATTCGGCATTTTACCAATAAAGCAATTTCATTAAACAAATTTCTCAACATTTCATTTTGAAGTTTAAGATGCTCACATTTAACAAGCATTCTTGATATTGTTAAATAGACTAACAGAAACTCCATACTCACAATAGAATGATTTTAGAAACCGAACAAATCAAACTTTAATCTAGTCATTACAGAGTAGAATCGAGCAATAATTCATTAATTCTACAACTGTTAATGCCTAAAATTCCTACACACCCAAGTACCTTAAAATCTTGCATACCCATTACTATATATACTGCCTCTAAACATAATTAATCCACTCTCCTTCAAAAATTGAGTAATCAAGATGAACCATAACCAATTAATCATTTGAAACCCCCAAAAAACAAGGGAACTAAAATTACATTAAATTAACATTCAAGAACAATGAATCTCAAGCGAAGTTAATTTTTTTCGTCAACTTCTCTCCTAATATCAACAATTGACTGAAAACAAAATACTAAGAAACGATTTAGTTCCCCCCCCCCCCCCCCCCCCCCCCCCCACACGTGAGAGGAAGATTCCATGGAAAATGAAGTGTTCTTAGATGTTGTAGTCGAAAATACTTTGTGGTGGTGGCGGCGACGGTGGTGGCTTTTCAGTCAACATTATCAGATTTTTGGTCCGAAGATAATTGATAAGAACAAATAAAGACAAGTTAGAACAATTTAAAAAAATTACTTATCTTCTAAGATCTATTAAAAATACATTCACTTCTTATTTAAATTTATTTTTACACTTCTCCATCAAACTACTTGGAAATTAGAAGATACAACTTGATCACCTGTGAAAAACTAACAAGCTTTTAGTAATAAATAGTTATATACTCAGAAAGGCATATAGTTAAAAAAAGTTGTACTTAGAGGTGTAGGTCTTACATCAAGGATCTATCCCACAAAATATATAAATTCACTTTTAGGCTGAAAGTAAGCTAACTTTTTTCTCTAACCCAAATTTGTACTTATTTCAAATTGTGAATGTACTAAATTAAGAAATTAAGTTAAGAATATAAGTTAATATATTGTAAAATGAAAATAACATATAAGAAATTAAGTTAAGGATAGAAATTAATGAGGAACTATGAATGTACAAAATTAAAAAACTAAGAACAATAAGAAACAAATTAACAAAGTGAGAATTATATAAGTAACTTACATAGTCCGTTTCTTGTAAAACAGATGTAGCTATAAAATTTAAGGTGCAAAAATCTAACATGAAGGGAAAAAAAATTAAAAGATAAGACTGCACATTACCTGGCAACAAGAAAAGAAGAAATCGCACTTTAAATGGAGTGTAATTGAAGGTATCAATAAACCTGAGAGAGAAGATGAACAAAAGAAAGAGATGAAAAAATCTAATAATAATAACTTGAAAGATAAATATGTTATCTTCAATATTTTTTCTATAACTAAATTGTTAAATTATTAAATATGATTGAAATAGAAAATGAGCAAAAATAAAGACAAATCTTTTTTAAATTTATTTTTTCTTCACTAAGGTCGCAACTACATTTGATTTCATATGTAACCAGTTTAGTTATAGAGTTCATATATATATATATATATATATATATATATATATATATATTTATTTATTTATTTATTGAATAAATTAGTTAGTAAAAATATGTAATGGTAGAAAAACAATAACTTATGTAAGTAAATCAATTATTACAAGAAGAATTAACAATAAGGTAAATTTAACAATAGATAATGACTAATTTATCATTAATTAAATAAAATATTAAAAGAAGTATTTATACAACAATTTAAAATCACCTAAAGCTAACAATATGTATTGTGTAATTTGATTTTATAAGGTATTCGAATTTTAGAAGAAAAGTACTTCATAAAAGAAACCAAAAACGTGTAATAGACATTAGTTGAAATTGCAACATAAACTTATAAATAAGTAGAATCTAAGATATGCAAAATATTAACTATGAGAGAATATACTTGAAAGATAAATATGTTATCTTCAATATTTTTTCTATAACTAAATTGTTTGAGAAATATTGCACTATTTACTATAATTTGTATCGTGCAAATTTTTAGTTGCATCTATTGAAGCATCAAAGGAACTTATATTTATTTTATCATTAGTCCTTTATTTGAAGCAAGATATTGCATTTGCGTTACCTATAATAATCATGGAAAATATGATTCCAAAATGATTCCAAAATGATGCTGGAAAAAAAGATAAAGAATTAAAAAGAAATTAGTTTAACACATTCTGGTTATAAAAGGATGACCCATCATTCCTTAACGGAAGCCGAATATTTGCTTCCATATTTATTTCTTTCTTTGCAATTAAAAATAGCAACATAATTAACAATAGCATCTGAGAACTACTAAACAAACAATTTGGCGTAAGAAAAATGCAATGAATGAGCTAAAGTATTTTTCTTTTGCTTTTGCTTTTGCTTTTTTACTGGATTCTACCATCTATGTAATTAACTTGCTCATTCTATTAGACAAATAATATATGATATTATGCAGTAACTTGTAAATCTATCTTTAAATAAACTACACAACGAGCAAACAAATTAAACTACATAAACAACCCCTAAGAATGTAGAAAAACAAATATTCAACCACAAAAAAAATATAATAATAAAAAAAATCTTCAATTGCAAAAAAATGAAAATAGTCCAGATAGTTTAAGAGAAGAAAGAAGACTAATTGAAAAACTCAGATTTTTTTTTTGAAAAAACATGAACAATCAACTAAAATAAAGAATATATTTCAAAAAACTTACCTAACAAAGAGCTTACCACTACAATCTTCAATTCTACAAGTCAGTTAATGTAATGGAACCCCATATACATAAGCAATAGGATACAAAATGAGTTCAAAATAGAAAACATTTAGAGGTAAAATCATCTAAAATGAACGAATTTTAATAAATTATTTCAAAAATAATGTAGCTTTCAAATTCGTTTTTACAAATAAGAAGAAATTGAGGTGAAAAAGGCAAAAATAAAAAAAATAATAAAAAAAGAAGAGAACAATGGATCTTTAGAACCACGTCACGATCTATATTCAGAGAGCAATCTTTTTACATATACGTCCAAAGCTGGAAGATGATTATGCCTACCTTCTAATAATGAATTTGCCAAAATTACCCTTAACTTTATAGCTCTGATTATTCTTCATAATTGTTAATGCTAAGGACGAAATGAGAATTCAAAAAAAAAAAATATAATCCGCTCTTACTACAACCAAAGTCAACTTTCAATTTTGAAAAGCTAAAATGTGCCACTTGACAATCCATGAGGGTCCACATCTTGACAAAATTGAATGCAATTACATATCTACTGATGCTGTCTCTTTTCTTATTGCAGAAGAATTGTTGTAATAATTACACGTGCTATTGCTTTTTTTTTTTTTTTTTTTTTACGACAAAATTGCTACAGTAAGTACATGCAAAGAGTAGTTGCATTTCTTATACATACTTTGGTTCTCACACCTAGGAAAGTTGCTACAGTAGACACCTAATTTTGTATTCCAAATAGCACTTCTACAACTCATTTACACGCGTAAAACAAAAATAAAATAAAATGATAGGAACCAGATAAGTGTGAAATGGATGAACCACAAATGAACAGTGATGGAGTGATCTTCTCTTTTATAAGTAGAGGAGAGGTATGAAAACAAATTAAATAAACAAAAAAAGAATTACAGGCAAAAATAAAAAAAAGACAAAAAAAATTATTATAGAGCTTTTTAATTAAATTGAAATAATTAAAATTAAAAATAAATATTATATTATTTAATTAGAATTGAAAAAATTTCTTTTTATTATAAAACGAAAAGAATTAAAAAGAATTTTAAATCGAACAAAAAATTATTTATAATATGAAGAAAAAAATGTGAAAACAATTTTCAAAAAATGTATAATAAAAACAAAACAAATTAAATAAAAGAAAGTTACGAAAATTAAATAAAAAATATATAAATATTATTTAATTAAAATTAAAAAAATAAAGTTTTATCATAAAGAAAAAAGAATTAAAAAGAATTTTAAATAGGAAAAAAATATTTATAATATAAAGAAAAAATAAATTTTAAAAAATTTCAAAATAATATAATAAATTAAACAAAAAAAGTTACAAAAATTAAATAAAGAATATATAAATAATATGTAATTAAAATTGAAAAATGTAAGTTTTATCATAAAGAGAAAAGAATTAAAAAAATTTAAATCCAAAAAAAAAATATTTATAATATGAATTTAAAAAAAAAAGAAAAATAAATGAGGAACAGAGAGAATTTTTCCGTATGACTGTCTG